GGTATTTACAAATCAACACTGAAAACTACTAGTATGTATATTGGATCTTCTAAAAATCAATTGCAAAAATAGTGTTATTGATGTTTCCACTATAGTAGTAACTATTTTTCCACTAAATTATGTACTTTACACAGTTAAACACTAGAACTTTAAACATATTTTTTGGTCAAAAACATTTAAACACTATATTCACCTATAAGTAGAGCAATAATAACAACGCAAATTGTGACACTAATCACTAGGCGTGAGAATCTAAAAGTTTTTATCACGATCGATGCTTTGGACCCACTTTCTATCATTCATCAACTCTTCTCATACAATTTTTTTTTAGCATTTTCTTCACTGTTATAAGTTATACTTTCGTTGATTTGGATAGATTCCAAATCTCCATTTTCTAGTTTTTGACTAAAAATAGAGAACAAAAAACAGTGCCATTAAACCTCAAAGTCGATGACACATGTTTGTATGAGCTACAACATCAACAACCAATGTGTGAACACATTATTAGTGAGCTACACGTACCAAACATTCCATGTTCTCCTTTTTGTTTCCACGAGTGGTTTTGAATTATGATAATCTACCCTCACTATATAGGTATATATCACTGCTTATATACATAATTTTCATTTTATTGAAATTCTTTTAGTAAGTACCAAACAAATCGATAAATGGTTCATTCTATTCATGAATGGGGATCCAGTTAGGCAAGTATTTACGTGTGCTTTTGTATGATATAATATTCTATTCATCAAAACGCAAACGTAATCTTGAAAGATAACAACATGGGTTACGTTGTTGTAACATAGCAATAATAATTTTTCATACCAAAAAAAAAAAAACATAGCAATAATTTTGGCTAATTTCTCATGATTTGTGATGTAATCTTGGTCGTCTTTAGCTATTCACCTTCTAGTTGTGTAGACCTGATGAATGTTTTGTATTTCAATATACAAAATTCTGAAAATGCAAAATTCAAGTGCTACGCTAAGGAGGATAAGATATGTTCATTAATTTTACTACAATAGTGCCGAAAGGATTAAAACTGCAAAAGAAGAATGAACAATGAGTGATTGTGGCAATGATTATTCACACGTATCCCGAAACGCACGCTTCATCTCAAAATCATCATTTTGTATATAAATATTCATTGACGTTTGTGGTGTAACATATTGAATTAGTTATGCTTATACATTTCCAAATGCATTTTTCTCCATTATATTATTGTTACGATGTGTGTGTGTGTGATTAATAGAAGCAATAATGACGTTAAAGGAGACGGCAACAAATATTGGGACGACACAAGTACCATCCACCGAAAGTTCTCTTTGCCTCTTTCGCCTCCTAAAGTCCTCTTTGCCTCTTTCGCCTCCTAAAGTCTTCACACTTCAACCAAGTGGTGGTGGGTTTGTGGTTCCCACTTGAAAAAGGTATTGTTTTGTGGATTTAAGTCAGAGTTTAATTCTCCTCAAACGTAAAATTATCTAATAATTTTTATTTGGTCAGTCGAAATGGTGTCACGCTTTAGACCCATTATAAAATTTGGTGAGTGGGCACTCGACGACTACACTCACCATAGAAAGATTATTTGGAAGGTAAAAACCCGGATCATCTCCTAATTATAAAAAAAAAATCTTCACACTTGGACCCCACATTTTTTAATGTTTTTGTTTGTTAACCCCTATAAATTTTTATTTTCAGGGATGCTATATTGTGTTTGTTGTTGTTCTTTGTAGTGGAAAATATTTAAATCTTTACTCTTATCAATTAGTTGTTCTTTGGTCGACATGTAGAGATGGAGTTACATACATATTTATAATTTTCTAATTGTTTGTTCCCACTTATTCGTGCTACTTTCCACACAGAAATAATAATAGAGAGATAGTTAACAAAACACCAATACAATGAACAAATTAGAAACTAAAACACAAATAAATATAAGAGAATTTTTTAGAAATTTACATTTTTGAAATGTCACTTTTTTAAAATACCACTTTTTCAAAAAATTTTAAAAAATGCCACTTTTTCAAAATTATTGACTCAATATATCA